CGCTTGGTGTGATTTGGACTGCTTCCGAGAACTAGTGCTATGAGGGACCCTTTTCTTCCTTGTATCATACATTCCCACCTATCGAAGATACTTGCTAGTTTTATATTTTTTGCACTCTTTCGTTTCCTTCCGCGTCCCTCCAGCAATTTTGTTGGTATCGTACTGCCCCGCGGAGGTCGTCGAAGCATGATAGAGTGGAGAAGAAATACATATATTTAGATAAGTTGAACCAGTGTTATACAATAATTCTAGGTCGGTTTCCGGGGGTTTTGCTTCAAATGAAAAATACATACCCCGTAACTGACTTGATGTTTTAAAGAGACTTCAAGTAATGTTCATGGAGTAATAACTCCAGTAAAAAGTATTCTCACAAAAGCTGAAATAGTTTACCCCCACTTTGGAATTCTAATCGAGATTTTTTTTAACCTCAATTGACAGCGAACATGAGTCCCGATTCTCAGCAGTAGATTGATTCTTATTTCGAAACTATAATAAATCCTCATAGATAAATCATGAGTGTACCAAGTTATCTTATTATTAAAGTAGAACCTCAATCCAACCCACATACTACAATTGATCAAATCTTGGTTTCAAGTTCGATGGGATACTGAAAGCAGAATATATAAGAGATCTGGGAGGCAGGTATAACTTCATCTTTCAGTGAAACCTCCGATAACTCCCCCCTCCGATGTTTCCAGGTATGATATCTCTATCGCTTGTCGGGGATAAGTTTCGTTCTATGGCCTTTCCTCCTCTATGTTCTAGGGTTCTATTAGTCCCTCTTTCCGGGCGGTAAATGGTTCCTAAATTCCAGGGTTCGCTTGCATGAAATTATTTTTCACCTCGCCTCCCGGGCAAAGCTGTAGACAAATTGCCAGATACTAGCGAGATAGCGAGTTGAATGGACTCGGATATGTGTGTTTTTAGAATGAAGGTCCAGCAGATGGGAGGTGTGTATTACCCTTCCGGAACCTAAACATGTGGTGTTAAAACCTGTATGCAATCATGAACTATCACTCATTTTCTCTCTCTGAACTCACCTCTATTCCCTAGAGCCTATCCTCTGGTTTCCATCCCCTCTTTACTTCCAGGGAAGACAATCTCCCCACGTCCTGGAGATAACGGAGGTTTCACTGTATAGTATTAGTAGTTAGCACTAAGAATGCTAGGAATATCAGTAACTCAGATATCTTTCCACAATAATACCAGATTTCCTCAATTACACAGTACATAACTACAGTACTGACTATTTTTGTATAAACACAAAGTCCATATAGTAGGATAAACATTGTACCTATATACAGTACACAATAAACTCACATCTCTTAACTCAATTCTCTTGCAATGTAATAAAAATGTAATCATTGACCTATTTCTACCATTGTTCATTGATTGTCTAACTTTTACTTAGAATACAGTACTGTTACCATTCCCTGATCTATAACTTTATCTCATTAAATCCCTTGGGGGCGGTACTTAATTCCCAATTCCCACTTCCTGCCCTATTCCATCCCGTCGAAGTGTACTTATTTCTAATCTTCCATTCAGTATTTCGGGTGGGATCCTGACTAATTAATGGCCGCGAGAGTGTTTTTGCGTCATTTTGAGGGGATCATACCCACCGTTATATAGTAAGATACTCTAGAACTATACTCTGCCACAAAAAGTGAGATTTTTTTTTACCAAATGGCATGCTATTAGGTGGGACAAAATAAGTTTTCCGAAATACCGAAATGCCTAGTATAACAAGGTAAAGCAATCGCAATAAACATCATTACCTTGCAGTAAATTTTCCAGGTATGATATCATAGGAAAAAATATATATACTATTGGCTGGTTCGTTCGTCCGGTGGAGAAAGAAAGAGATCCGATATCAAAGTCCAACTTCCGTGCGGGCGGAAAATATTGACCATGGTATCATAATCAAGTAAGTTCTGTACCAAAAGCAAATATCCCATAAAATCTCATTTACTTTCCATTTTCAGGATTAAATTTTATTCAAAATCCGTACTGTATCATACATATTATACATACCGAATCGGACCTGGGTCGTTTCTATCCCGCTCTTTATCCTCAGAGATATTCAACTCGATTAAAAGATTGCATGAACAGTGCTGTGAGATTGGAGATTTTCATATCATAACTTTTTGTATGAGGCCCATACAAATTCCCAGCGCTTAAGTCCAGTTTTGGGATAGGTCGCACTGATTAATGAGAGCTATCCATAGAATAGATAGATTTGCTATAGAAATACAAGTTTTAGAACCACTGGGTCATCGGCTCTCTGTTGATATATGTTTCTTTTTAATTAACTGAGGGGTGGGGGTGCAAGCCAAGATTTCCATGATGATTTTGGTGCGCCCCGACTGGCACATTACAGTACTTGTACCCACCGACGATGACTTTTGCCCAAGAACTATAATGCGATTACATACCGTGCTTTGATCACAGCCTTAATTCCCCCCAACCCAATTCTACCCCCCCTTCCTCTCTCCATCAATTGAGGAGAGCCTCCTCTCTCGAAGGAGACAAGATTCACGCGTCCAAAAACGATCCCACGCGAGGGAGAAAAAGTGTGCTGATAACAGGCGGCTCCGGGGGTCTTGGCACTGCAACAGAGCGTCTCGCTGAACTACGTCAGAGCCAGTGCTGTAAATGTAGCAACATAGATATTAGGCGAGTGCGGAGTCAAGGCGGACACCATACAGGGTGACGTCAGCGCTGAAGGGAACTGCGTGAGGATGGTGAATGGGTGCAGTACGCCGTGTGGGGGCACTGATAATGATGCCACTGTGAAGATTTGAAGTGAGTGAGTGCCAGTCGGTGATGCCAGAAGGGCTGGACGAGGATCAGCGGTTCCGGAGATTTGAACGCGCCAGGTGAGGCTAATTGGGATAAAGCCACTATCCCCTTTCCCGCAGATTTTGCTTCCTAATGGGATTTCTAATAAAGAACGGTAGTGCTAGGCGGTAAGCGTAAAAGAGAATCTCTACCTCCTCTGCACCGCCGTGGAAATTTTCACTGCAAATCTAGAAGACGGTTGGTTCCTGACTTTGTCCTCCATTGGCGCGACCACGCCCACTGGTGGCGCAATGACGTGCTCAGTTACTCAGGCCGCTAGTTTAAACGTTATGCGGTGCCTTGTGTAGACTTACTCGAGTAGGGGTCGAAAATCGAGTGAACCTTTTCAATACCATGCTCTTGGCGAAAAAACCTTCCGGATACCATTGACCGAGAAATATACCATCAAAAAAGTGAAACCTTCGCACAGAACCACCTTGGTCTGACCTTGCTTAAGAGTAGTATGTTCTTGGTGATTTTTTGGGCCAAGAATCCTAAGAAGATTGCTAGAAAAAATATAAAAAAATATTAGCAGGTCTCAAGTAGTTCTGGCTTTTTTATAAGATTTTTTACAATATTTTTGGATTGTTTGAGGGGTAAAAAGACTGGGGAACTCTGTGCTAGAGTGAATATTTTGTTGATCATTGCAATGTGAAACCTTGCAATGGTATGTTTTTGCCAAGAATGGTATTATAAAGGTACCCCCCTGTTTTCCATGGTATTTGAAAGGTTTTCTCGTCGAAAATCAGTTAAGTTAATGCGGTGCATCCGGGTTTGTTGTTGGCCGATTTCCGATTGATTTCCGATTGGGAGGGGGGGAGATTCCTGACGAAGGGAGCATACTCTGTTAGCAGTTAGCGGGGGGAGAATGCGCGGACACATTTCTACTCATGGCTAAGTGTGTAAGACTATGACAGGGGCTAGCCTAAAGAGTGGTACCGGTATCAAAAGTAAGGTGTGAGGGAGAAATAGAGGTTAATCCCGGTCTTGCTCCTCAGCTTCGGGGGTGGAGATACTGTATAAAAGTGGGTTTTTCAGCACCGATCCCATGGAGCAACAGAGTAGAAAGAATTCACCAATCAAGAGGACTTTCAAATGATTTGGGCGATCCCCAATGGTCGTATCATACAGTAGGTGTTCCCGGGAGGGATTTCCCGAGGGCTCCGTGTTTCTCGTATCAGCGTGCCCGAACAAGGCACGTGACGGATGTATCATATCTATCGGCTAAGGGAATTCCCGTACTAAACCACAATTGGCTTAGCAGAGTAGGTTAACAGAATTGTGAATACCGGTTAATGAGATCTACCAAGCTCAGAACACCCAACCTTTACCGCCTCTAGAAAACACTATTCCTTATTGGGGTGGAATAGTGTCTCTGATTGCTTAGATTGGCGATGGTGGATTCAAGGAGTTTTTATGGTACCGGTAGTCCACCAAACATCTGAACGCCGGGGTGAGATTAGCGGTAGACTATGATAATCAAGCTTCCCAGAAAGTTGTGCACGTGCCGAGTGACAAGCTTGACCTTGTCATCCTTCCAAGGCAGACAGAGCCCTGAAGCCGAGGGTCAGGAGGGTGCGAGTATTATCGCAGGTTACCTTATGATACTCGAGCAGATTTTCATGTGATCCTTAAGGTTATGCAACAGGTTCCACAGCACCGCAGGCTAATCCCCCCTTCTTACCCTTTCCCTGAAATCATAATGTTTTCTCCCCTTTCGGGGTGGTCCGTGTCGCTCGGTGCTCCTTCGGGAGTGTCTTTGCAAACGGAAGCAAAGTGGGAAAAATCCCAAAATGTGAAGACCTATTGAGAATTGAATATAAAAACTAATGCTTAAGACGGTTGGTAACGCCGAGTGCAGTGAATGCAGAAGAGAAAGGAAGGATGTCTACAAGGATACGGATTGAGATCAGGGATCAGTGTTCCCCTCTCTTTTCTTCTGACTCAAATTTGTGCATTTTACACTGTGCGTAGAAATTTCTCTGTGCACAAATACCCCCCGCAAGTGCACACTGCACATGTGCACAAGTCAGCTGCTCAGGCATAACGAGTGACATCGTATGATTGCATATGAACCCTGTTCGGTTACACAAGCCTCTAAAGTATAAACGTAACCTCAGGGCTCCCGACCTGATCCCTTGACCCTCTTCCTTCCCTCTACCAACTTCCAAGAGGAACGAAGGAAAGGAGAGAATAAAAGGAGGGGGTATCATAATCAGGAAAAGCAAACATTAACCTGTCACCTCTAGCCATTCCATCCCATTCGGCAACCAGATATCCATCTACCCGTACCTCCACCAGATAAATCAGATAGCGCTCTACGCGGTGGGGCAAAGGGCAAAAGCCGAAGAAAAAGTTTCGAATTATCAAACACGCGCGTGCATCTTTTCGGAATTTATTCGTGGAGAAGGTAGAAGACCTCCCCCATTTGGGTAAACTATTCCCGAAATCTAGCTAATTTTTTTTTGGAGGCGAGTAGGATAGGACGGCTCCTTTTACACGGGATTTTAGTGCTCATCTTCCTCTCCGTTTCCATTCCGCCTCACCGTTGGTGAAGCATATCTTAGGACGCCTACAGTGATTTTGCGTTATCGCCCCACGGGGTTCGCATTTTGCGGCCAAGGCTTTCTGCGGGGTTTGGTGGTGGTCGTGTCGGGTTGTTTGGTGGCCCCCCAATGCTACATAAGTTTTACGCCTCGTGGTTTTGTAGCTTCAAGGTCGATCTGGTGATTACCTGGTTTGGACTATTGAGGAATTTCAGGTTTATCGAAAGCAGGTACGTCTTAGAAATCCCCATGTTGTTCATAAATCTTGTATTCCCTTTCATCCGGTATTGTATGCCATTCCGTGATACATATGGAGAGATCTGCCGGGTTTTTTGTACCGGATACTTCAGCAGCTTCGGGACAGTATCCGCCATTGTAGTAGTATCCGCAGGCTTGGGATCTTATTTCATACTGACTATGCCAACGGGTAAGTTAGCCGGAATCAAATTTAGCCGGGGCTTGTCAGGACGGAAGAAACACCAATTCAGGTACTGTACCATACATATCTATGCTCCCGCTTTTCTAGCCCAACATGGCCCATGGTTTTTTTTTTTTGATCGCACGATAGTACAGCTACTTCAACGCTCCCGAGATCTCTTTTTGGCAAACGTATAGCTAACAAGAAACCGCGGGCGGTTGAGCGTAGGAAACAGGAGGTGGCGCCTTTTCGCAGGCGGCTAAATGGTTTATACCGGTCAGGTGGCACTACTTGCCGGGGCTTGGACTTATATTGAGTCTGCCTGGTTTCTTTCCTTCCCAAAATGTGAGTACTTTCCTAGGCTGGCTTAAACGAGAGACAAACCCCCCGCACGCTGCGGCTGCCAGCAGATCCCCGGAGAAAAATTGAGTGTAATGGGAGTTTTGGTGAGGGCTCTCTTCGCTTCTCCGCAGTCAGAGGGAGATGGAGATATGCCTGGTGAGGGGGGGATGAGCAGGAGATATTTTGCAAAAGGAGAGGCCGTGGAATGTGCAGACGAAGCAGCTTTCGGGAAGCGCAGAACTCAAGCTTCTGGGTTGGGACGTTTGGAGAGTAGATTGCTAGACTTGTTGCTGCAGAGATGTTTATCTTACAACTTCTGATGTTTGTTGCCTTGGCAGTGGCTACTCCTCTGCGGAAGGATGCAACACAGGTTTCCCTCATATCATGGACATTTACGGATAATGTTCTTTCTGGCTCTGTTAGGGTATGATACCTTTTATTTCCATAGAGAATGTGAATGCTCACAGTTTTCTACAGATACAAAATATCGCATACCGGAAAGTCGTAACAGTTTTCTATGCTGTGGGAAGCACATGGAGCGATAGTCAAAAGATTTCCGCCACCTGGTCTGTTCAGGGTACGGATGGATATGAAATATGGACTTTCTCAGGAACAGCTACCGGTGCGACTCAGTTTCACATCAAGTATGATGTTAGCGGAACGTCGTAAGTTTTTTAAAATGGTAAATCTGGCTAGTAGGGCACCTAATACTAATACCAGATGCGGTAGCTACTATGACCCCGGAAACACTGATAATTACCAGGTTCCTACTACAACTGGCGCAGCAACCTCGACTACTACTATTCCCCCCACTTCGGTTGGATCTGGTACCACAGCTACGCCCACTATCCCAACTACTACTACTACTTGTACCGGTACACCCGTTAGTATCGGACCTGTAGATCCTAGTATCCCTCCGGCAATCATCCCTTCCAAGATCCCATCCGAACCGGTCCCTACTGTTCCCTCTGGATGCGGAAACTGGAACGGGCTGGACAAATGCGCTAACGGCGTTTACACATTCCCCGATTCTGCCGAGAGGCGGCGTTGGCAGACTCCCCCGGAAGGTGGGGATGGTTATTTTAAATCATTCCAAGATTACCGCAATCTCGTCGGGTATGCCGATATCCAATATAGCTCTGACAGAACTCGGGCTGTTGTTGTTGTCAATGCTGCTAGTCGTACGGGCGAGTGTTTGAAGTATTCCTTCAACGGCGTTGGCCAGTCGAGCAATACCTTTCAAGTTAATTCGGGATTTGCTGGACAATTGGAAATAACAGTCACTGGATCTGATGGAAGTAGCCTGGTTCTCGAGCCTCTCAATTTCTTCTGGCAAAATGCTCCTCTATCAGCTGCGCAGAGCACTTTCTCGGATGGGCAAAAGGGTGGTATTATCGAGTTGTTTGGATGGCCGTATGATGATGTTGCAAAGGAGTGCGCTTTCCTCGGAAAGGCTGGATGGATGGGTGTTAAGATTTGGCCGGCAACGGAACACGTTTGGGGATCGCACTACTACGAGCTAGATAACCAGTTCCGGCCGTGGTACCTCTCTTATCAACCTGTCAGCTATAGACTTCACTCACGTATGGGGACAAGGGCTCAGCTGCGAGCTATGATCCAGGCATGCCGCACCGAAGGTGTTCGCGTCTACGCTGATGCAGTTATCAATCACATGGTTGGCCAAGGAAGTGGTAGGTTTCCGTGCCCATTGCAGGAGGTTTTAACTTCTCACTCTCGCTAGACATCCAAAACCACAGAGTTTCCAGTTGCGCTAAGTACTCAGGTCGCAATGCCACCGACGGTTCTCCATACTTTACCTCCGGGTATACTTGTCCTTAACTCATATCTGAAGTCCTACTGACCTCTTTAGCAACACCTACCTTCTGAGCCCGTACACCGGTACTCGCCCTACTCTCGAGTTTCCATCTGTTCCCTATGGCCCAACTGACTTTCACTGTGAAAGAACCTTGAACTCCTGGACCGACGGGCAAGTTATTACGAAGGGATGGCTCTTGGGACTCACTGATCTGAATACCGAGAAGCCCTACGTGCAGGATAGGATAGCGACCTACCTTGTAGACCTTCTGTCAATCGGTTTCACTGGCTTCCGTGTTGACGCAGCAAAGCATATTGGCCCCTCATCTGTGGCGCAAATTCTTGGCCGCGTAAAGGCGAAGATGGGAGGCAGCATGCCCGCGGATTGGATCACGTGGCTCGAGGTCATAATGGGCGGAGAATCCAGCCTCTTGGCCTGTAGTGGGGGGGAATGGTCATGGTACACCAATCTTGACAACCAGCTCAAGGCTGCTGGTCTTTCGGATTCAGAGGTTACCAAGGTCAAGGTCTGGAGTTCAGATTATCCCAAGGAAATGCCTATCTGCGGCAGCTGGATTATTCCCGCATCACGCTTCGCAATTCAGAACGACGATCACGACCAACAGAACCCTGTAATTACGCCCCCTCGCGACTAATACTCTCTATCCCATGATTATGGCTAATATTATCTAGGGCTCCTCCTCTCGCGACATGGCCAACAAAGGCTCCGTCCTTATCAAGGACAAAGACGCCGCTAAGCACCGTGGCTTCGAAGTCCAACTCTTCTCCCGCACCGATGCCAATTGGCACATCAAGCTCGTCCTCTCCTCATACTCCTTCATGGACAACGGCGCCTCAGGATTCCCCGACGGACACTCTGACTGCTCCCTGTATACCGGTAACCAGGCGATCTCGGGATGTCTTGGTGTGCCCAGGGATACCGCTTATGTTGCTGACGCGTGCTCGTACACTATTTCGCCCGGAAAGTACACGCGTGTGCATAGAGATTTGCCGATTATTAATGCTATGAGGGCGTGGGTGGGGCTTGGCTCTACGACTGCGGCGGCATTGGGGATCTCGGGGTGTTAGAGTTGGTTTCGGGCTTGTTGTACCCGAGTACCGGTAGAGGGGGAAAGTGGCAGGATGTGGGTGGGCGGTGCGGGAATGAGAGAGTTGATAAGTTGTTTGGAACCACAAGTTGTTGGCGTTTTAACAAAAACGAATTTTGTTTTGTTTTGAGCTTCATCCTTTAGAGTTTGTGACTACTGTGCGGTAAACGCTTCATAGAATTTCCTTCCTCGGGGATCAACAACTAAGCTAGGCTATTATACCTTTGAAGCACCCCACCGTAGTGATGCCTAATCCAGGAACCAAAATCCCACAGTCAATCCATATCACCGAGCGAGCCAGTCATGACAATCCATATGTTCTCACAATAACCCCTCGCCCTCCCTCTGCAGGAGCTAAACTATGATAATCCACCAGAATCCCTACAAGAACCCGTTTATCCAACCAAACCATCAATCAATCCTTCCCAAACCGGGAGTACTGTGCCGTAATATACTTTCCCGTGATACGAGCACTCTTTAGTAAAAATACACATCTATCGGAATGGTGGAGCAGGAAACACGGTAGACGGGATGGGGTTGGTTAACGGCACGCACGAGCACAATACTGTACTAGTACATGGAGCAAAGATGTGGTGTTGGGTCGGGTAGGTGGTGGAAAGTGCTTGGATGTGCTGGACTATACAGTAATTCACGGATTGTATTTATTGTATGCAGCGGCGGTGGCGGAAGAAAGATGGTAGGGGAAACGAATCATCGTTACCATTAAATACATTAATCTGCGCGCAGTAAGGTATCGCGCTTGCGGCTGCTTACTTGCTTGTGGATCGGGGAAGGAAATGGGGGTGGAGGGAGAAAACTAAGATCGCGCTAGAGTGGATGAGGATGGGTCGAACTGGTAGGCGAGACCCCCGGCTAGCCCGGTGGAAAAAGGGAATCGGTAGAGACAATAGAGGACGGTAGGGAATATTTCTAGGAGGAAGAGAAAAAAGTAGAGAAAAAAAAAAAGGATATTCCTGCTGGCTCAGCACAACCTTCTTCCCGCCCATTAATAAACAAAACAAATGGAACTAGAAAAAAACAAGAAAGGATACAAAGAGACCCCCACTTCTACCGCCTCCCGGTGCTCCTCCTCCTCCTCCTCCTCCCCCCACCAAGTGGAACCCCGCCCCTCCTCTCATCATCGCTATCTCCGCCTGCCACGGTTGTCGGACTCGTCACCCTAATCTCCGGATTCGGCGTAGGCATCTCCTGCGCGGCCTGATAGTACGGGTGTTCCTGATGATACAGCGGACGTCCGGGTTTCGGTTGCTTCGGCGGTAACTGCGGTGGTTCCTGCACCCGTATTTCTGGCGTCATAACCTGGTCCATAGTCATCGCTTCAGTTGTTGGTGATTGCGGGATGTGGTGACGGTGGTCGGGCAGGATTACTCGGAAGGCCGGGTGCGTGTCGTGTCGGGAGACTGGGGGTGGGGAGGAAGCCGTAGGGGAGGCCCAATCAGCTGTCGCGTGGTCGATCTCGGCGCTTAGTTCTGCGATGTCTTGTGGGGGGATGGAGGGTTTGGGTCTTATGGGGGAGGATTGGGGGAAGGCTTCTTTGTCGAGGTGCTTTGGGTTGAGAAATTCTCCTGCGGGTGCGGTGTTAGCTTTATCTATCCTCACGAGCTTGGAAGCGCACTCGCGCGCCAGGCCGCTAGTTTCGCGCTGGCTAAGGTATCGCCGGGTGCCCGTGCTGACTTCCGTTAGGCGGTTCCACTCATTCAGAGCAAACTCGCCGACACCGACTTCCACGTTGAAGCGGTAGTAGTCTTCCCTCGGCACACCCATTTTAGCCAGTCCCGGGCGCCCACCGTCCTCGCCGTCGATGAGGATCCTGTGCACGCGCTCGCAGTCGTCCACCTTGGAGTAGAGCCGCTTTCGCGCCTCAGCGAAACCTTCGAAGGGCGAGGATATCAGGCCCTCCCACCAGGGCGGCTTTTGCTGACTGAGGGATACAGAGCTATGGTTGCTGTGGTGCCGTTCACCACGGCTAGTTCGGTGACGGCCCGGTGATTGGGGGGGGGCTTCATGGCGCTTGCCCGTGCCGATAGAAACGAATACGGAGATTTCATCGCCGGGGAACTCGTTGTTTCGCGCTTCTTCCAGGGCTTGCATGGCCGGATTGTATATCCCACTACCCTCGTCTAGGAAGGTGTTTTGTCCGATTGTAATCGGTTTGAAAGCGAATTCAATAGCCGATGTCGCTCGACCGGCCTGCCAGATTTTACAATCATACGATGGAGTGCTTTCGGCCGCCGATGGATAAGTGCGCAACAATACTGGTGGCGCGGCCGACTCTGGCGATGTACCCTTGTAAACAGCCGTGACGAACGTCCGACACCTACCGGGTCGATTGTCAAACAGGGGAGCTTCGGGATTCCCCGCTTTCCGAGTCCCGCCCGATCCGCGTCGGCCGCGGGGTTGATCACGATCGAGTGAAGAGGCGCGGCGACGGATTGGAGAAATCCGATCCGCCCATGAGTCAGTCCTTTTGTGCGTCATGGCTGGAGGACTCGTTGGAGGCGGGGAATGCGGAATAATTTTGTCCGTGTCGAACTTGGTGCCTAGAGAAAGAATGATCTATTAGTAAACAAATGATTCTATAAATAGGGCAAATGTAATGAACCTACTCTCTCGGACGCAGTGCCGGATAGCTTCTTCCAGACGACTAGACTTGAACAAAGTTTTCCCGTAAGGTACTCCCAAAATAGTCTTGTCTGTGATGAAAACATAACGCGTTAACTGCACGTAGTATTCCTTACAGCTCTCAACATCCATCCTCATCCTCCCCAACATCAAGGCGATCAACCCCCCAGTCCCAGTGCCACCAATCAAATCGAAGTAGTCGCATGGTCGAGGAAGATCGGCAGGAGTTTTGGGCCCTTTCCCATTATGAGTCTGGACATATATCTGGTGCATCAACTCTTGAAGGATAACAAGTGTAGAATAACCTCTTATTCCGCCGCCATCTGAGAAAAAAAGCAAAAAACGATCCCAATATTAGCCGACGCTAGCGCCTTCTAGGCGGGGGGAGGGGGGTCCGAAGGCACATACCTAGTGATAAGATTCTCAGTTGCCGCTTCTTTTTCGGTAATCTCTTGGCTTTCTGTTTTTCCTTCCATCGTCTCTGCTCGCTCTTGGATGAGTCCCCCAGCTTGTCCTCCAAATCTAATCTTCCCGCATCAGAATCGCCGTCGAGTTCGGCGACTCGGTGAGTCTCCTTGGTGATGGGCGAGTAAATGTATTCGTTCGAGTATGACGGGTCTATCTCTTTGGGTGGTAGTGGTGGCGGCGCCGTCTGCGACGATTTGCGGGGGCGCGTGTAAGTTCCCGTGGCAGGATCGTAGGACAGGCCGCGACCACCCCTCCGGACGGTTTCGTTTGGAGAGATCATGAGCTAGATGCTAGTCGTAGTGGTGTAGTGTAAGGTGGTAGTCGGTGTACGAGTGAGTGGTCCTTCTTCGCGATGGCTGTGAGGAGGAAGGGAGGGTAGAGCGAGGGGTGTGAATGACGGGAGGGAGGGGGATGGGAAAGAAGAAATAGAGGAGGAAGCCCAAGACTTTTCCAGTCTATCAGCTGTATGGTAGGGTAGGGTAGGTGCAGTAGAGTTGCTAGCACCGCAGAGTTACACAGAGGCACCCCGGAGACGACGAATGCTGGTCATACATTATGATATGATATGATACCTAGTTAAACTTACTCCCCAACCAGTTCAATATGGTATGGCTGAGCCCCTTACCTGCCTCCAGTCGGAATAATACAGTACGTCATGCACAGCGCCACCCGCAGGGGAGCCAACCTTTCCGTGGGACCAAGGCCAACCGTATCCAATCCAGCTCAGTCCTTGGCTATCAGCTCCGGGCTTTTGGTTGGTTGACTGTTTCGCTAGAACACCCTGAAGATAAAAAAGAAGAAAAATGGCTTGTTTCTCAATCTTATGGCATTTTTTTCAGCATAAAAAAAATAAAAGATAAATGGAGACGTGTTTGGCATGCATAGACACTAAGGCCCTGCTCGGTAGCCGACCGGGAAAAAACCCTGTTTTCCCTGAAAATAAAGTACAATTTAGAATAAAAATGCTTTGGTTGTGCTTGATAACCATTTAATTTGAAATTCAAATACCTTCAGTGTTGTGTACAACTCGATTTAAGAACGACCAATTGTAATGGACTGGGGTGATTATATAAGTAGATTTAAACTGTGGGATTAGTAAGTTACAAAGTACATGTATAAAGCACAATTTGAATATAAATTTTATATGTGATTGCTAAAAGTCCCTTTAGTATCTGTCAAAATATTGGTACCTAGTATGTTAAACTATTTTTCCTCTTCAACCTGGTGAGTCTGTTTTTGAGTATTATTATTTTTTAGTCTATAAGAGGTATAATTAATAAGATTTAAAGAAATTGAGAAAATATTCTCCTGTCCTGATACTTTATTCTTTAGAAATATTGATCTAGCACACCTGTTATTATTATATTGGTAGCATACGTACGGTGCGCACCTAATCTAGGAGAGTTTTTCAAAGGACTCCAATCCATTGGTTGACACTCAGCAATCCATCAGACCCAATCGAAACCATCGCCAGAGCCCACCAATCATCGACTGACAGCTGCGGCAACTGCGCCAAGACTTTTATCTTGGATAATTGCTACCAGCCAATTATTACGTGGTATCGTGGCGGGATATGGTCCATCTGAAAACTTCAGACTGGCCTGTCCGCCTCACTCGAGGTTCGGTAGACTGCCACTTCCCATACAGCGCCCGAGTACGTACCCGATTGACCACTGGGCGATAGTGGAGTTGCACCATCAACTGTCGGTCAGCCTTACCAGAGTCGGGGGCACTGCCCCTTCCCCCCAATTCCCGTCGTACAGAGACAACCGCCAAGCGCAACCCCACCGCGCGCAGTCCACCTTGGATACCGTGCTAAACTCGAGTGCTTACCCGTATTTTCAAAGGTAATCACATTCGCACAATAGTGAATGAGGCACCACCCCGGCATGAGCCAAGCCCCCGTCCCTTTTCCCCGGATTATGATTGATTGGTGGTTACGTGGGGGATGGGGTAGTTGAGGAAGCGTTTGTTACAGTAGTAACTTAGAGCTCTGATTGGAGCTTCTGGTTTTATGGTGAGAGGAGAGGAGGAGGCAGACAAGTTTAAAGGTCATGAGGCTCTGAGGGAGCTTTCTTTTCCTTGATGCTCGCGGTAAATTAAGAGGTTGGTGGTTCGGTGGGAAGTTCCTGGGTCGGGTGGGAGTTCCTTTTTGCAATTCTTGTCCCGTGGACTAAAATCTTAGGTAACTAATTTGGATTGTTGTTCTGGATAGCAGGGATTGTCTAGATTATCGATGAAAGGAACACTTGCATACGATTAAATTGTCTTGTCATCAGCATCAGCGAACAACTCTGCACCGATCTTATGTCATGATGGGAAACATGTACAGTACATAGTACTGTACATGTGCTCGAGTACTGTACATGTACGAGTACATAGCTAAAGTACAGTAAAGGGTCAGACTGGTTGCATGACAAGATTACACTCACCGGCAGACGAGTTGTTGGGCCGGGGAGCGCCGGAGCGGGAACACAGAAGTAGAACGATTATGTCATACAGTAGTTTAAACGAAGTGAACCCCCCTGGGTAACGTCAGAATGGAGGGGAAAAAAAATAAGCTCAGAATACCTGCAGAGTTCCGATGTACTGTATAGTATAGGAACTGTTGCGTTAAGTTATCCCAGCCCTACCCGCTAGGCGTGCTTACGGTAGATTTATTTGATCGGAACGGGGCGTGCCGTAGACAACTGTATGCTCAGCTGAGGGTCAGTATCGCCACTTTTAGCCTTATCGCACATGTACTGTACTTGTACTCGTATGATACTTCCTACTTTGTATTGACAGTTGGGCTAGCGATCACGTGTGGTTGCTATTGGGCTATGGCTGGAGTAAAAAAAATGAAAAATTCCAATTCTTGCTCTACTCGGCAGAGCTTTTCAGAGGGGGTGAGAATTGTTGTGGTGACATACCATACCTGTAGAATACTTTACTGAGAGTTTACACACTTCAGATTGGGAGGCGATTGGTGGGTTATGGAGGGAGCATGATGCCAGTTTGTGGCCTGGGGTCGGGTGCAGAGCGGTACTCGAGTGTGCGCACTGCCGAGTTTTGGCAGTCACGCACCAAGAGCGAGTACCGTGCGGTAGCAATAGTTAAGCCAATAGGAATTAGTGTGGCTTTTTATCCGTGATATATCATAGAATTCAGTCACTCCATCAATAGTGCAAGGGTTGTAATTGTACTCGAGTAGGTAAATTTAGTATGAGGCGACCACGACAACTCCTGCCTCACCCAATATGTCCTGTAAGAATTCTGGAATAAGTAGCTTTTGGGTTCTGTGGGGGGGAAGTTGCGAGGACCTTGTTGAAATTTGGTTTATTTACTATTATCATAATTGGATGATGTTATCTTCTTAGTATTTCATGGTAATGATTAAAGATTATATAAGTTATTTTTCTCATCTGGCATTTGGGATGTATTTAAACTGTCTTGAGTATTATCTCTTAATGTGTCACACTAGTAGATTATTTTGTAGTTATTCAGCTTTTACTAGCAGATTTCAGGATCAAATATGTTTACACTTAAGTTATTTTTTCCTATTTTTTCCTTGATTATAACGATATGTAATCTGTATTGATATGAGGTGGGTACCTATTTTATTTAGAAGAAATAGGTCTGTAAGCATTTACCAATCTATATTCACTACTATACTACTATTACTATTTACTTCTTACCTAAATGTGTTCAGAATCTACTTTTTATATTATATTTGAATTTTTAAGATAGTTTATAAAATAACATGAATCTCCATAGAATCAAATTTTGTAGATGAATATAATATATAAAGCTAAAGATATCAGCTGCAATTTGATAGTTTGACTCCTAATAACTTCCTTGAATCTCATAATATGTGGAAAAATAGATTCAAATTTTTACATTAATAGTATGACATCTAGTTTGTGATGATTATATATTATAAATTTTTTTTTAAAGTACAAGAGAAATGCAGTTCTTAAAAAAAAACTCAACAATAGCTTTTTTTTTAATACATGATAAATAGATATGTATTTATTTGTAAGGTTTGAGAAAAAAGAATATTATTATATAAAATTTTAGAAAATACTGTATGTGTAATACCCAAAACAGGATGCAATAGTAATTTTCTTTTCAATTAATAAAACTTGATTTGAGTAATATAAAGCAGAAAGAATACTGAATTAAAAGAGAAAGTTTTATAGTCTATAATAATAAAGAAATATATTAAAATAGAGAACGTATAGAATTAATAAATTGATTAATATTTTATATTACATCTAGAATTAGGTAATTAATAATCACATTATCTCTTAATTACTCAATCTGGAGTCTAAAGCAAGAAGATATTATTAAAATCTGATTTGTAATAAATAATAGTATTTTAACTGATGATTTAGCCTTGTAAAAAAAGTTTATTACCAGATATCAAGTAAGTTATCATACTAATTATAAAATTAATATGAAAAAAATTACTTATTTTGTGTTTTATTTATATTATTTTATATTAGCAGTACATATTATAAATTTTTTAAAACTTATTTATACCACATCCTGCACCATGTCAGTTTCAAAAAACTCACCAAATCAGAAAACTGCACACAGAAATACAATATTCTTCCATCTTTTACTTTTACTTTACCTTATTTTTTATTTGTATTATTATTGTTTTTAAACAGGTAATGTATACATTCTAAATACTTATTATATTAAATTTACTAATAGTCTTAAGAATGACATCCAATTCTACCAATAAATCTCAGTCTGAACCAGGTCATCACTTGTGGACAAAACAAAATAACAAAGGTCAATTTTTTAATAGTCTCTTTTGAATATAATTTATTTATACTTGGAATAAGTAAACTAACATATTTATTATAGACTTTAAGCATAGCGGTAATCAGTTTGATATTATGGATACAGAGATTACTAGTCAGAGAATTCTCTTTCGCTCTACTAGTGGGAAAGTTTACCCAGTGATGGTTTTCGAGGCGAAGAGAGTGGATAAAGAAAGAAAAGTTACTGGTGAGCTATGGAGAAGTACGAATAAACAAGGAGATCACAATGAGAAATATGAGAAATATGAACATATTGATGCAGCTGATAAGTTGAATAGAAAAGAAAGATAGATTTATATTCAAGTTGCTTTTGGATATAAACTATTTTTTAAACCTTAATTGTAAATTAACTATAATTAGTGTTTATTACTAGCAGCTTCATAATTGTCTACAATAGTGCTTTAAGTAATTTAACCTAAACAGTAGTATATTTGAACCATGCTCACCCTTTCCCACCTTACATACTATCTCTACCGACTCATCCAGCCTTCTCGTCCCGTGATA